TCCCCCCTCCCCCTGTCTCTCTCTCTGTGTGTTTGTGTGCGAGGTCTATTGCTGGATTCACACTGGACGCAGCAAGCGTCAAGCAGCGGAGCAGCAACCAACCAGCGTAGCGATATTTTTTACGCCACTGTAAATATCATAACGTTGATTGGTTGCTGCTCTGTTGCTTGACGCTTGCTGCGTCCAATGTGAATCCAGCATATTTCGTCGCGCTTTGTACAGTGCGCAGCATTAATTTTCTGGGTCATATTAGTGACTTGACTTATCGATGCTGAGTTGGTAACGCTCAAAGCGCGCTCGCGCTTGAATTAAGGAAGAATCACTGACAAACTGTATAGAAATTTATTTCGTTTTTTTCTGGATGCGTATAAAATGATATATTTTTTTAAAAATGCATGAATTAAATTCATGTATTCATTCATTTCATTCATTCTGTTAGTCACACACAGAGACTCTTTTTTTTTTCAAGTGCGCTCGCGCTTTGTGCGTTACGGATTCAACGTCGATAAGTCAAGCATCTACTATTACGCAGCGAATTAATGCTGCGCACTGTACACTCATCGGCAATAAGGTTGCAACAAACTTTTGAGCTTCAGAACTCTATGTTCTCTCTCGTGAGACTGTTATACATAGAATACATTAACGCATTTCGCGTAGCAAGAAACAGCTCAATATTGAATTTTATTCTAATCTCTTTTAATTGACTCAAATTTAAATCTTAAATTATTTTTTTTTCCATGTATGTAACGAGTTGACGTGTTCTGTGTGCAACAGGTCGTAGAGCGGTTGAACTTAAATGGTTAAAGCAATCAGTATAAAAACCAATCGCTCAATGCTGGCTTCATTTCCGAAACCTATTAAAAAAAGTATTGCAATTTCTTAGTTGATGAATGTATATACTTGGTGTTAGGTCATGATATTTGGCAATCAGTAGTATAGCCGGATAATTACATAATACGTAGAACGCAGAACGCAAAAAGTGGAATGAACTTTAAATTTTGCGCTTTGTGTGCTGCATATTGCGACCTTCATCATCTGAAATACTTTTCAATTGTGACATACAACTTGCATTGTACGTACTATAATAGATAGGGCGTTACATAGATTCAGTTTAATTTATAATTTGTTAACTATCGCCACATTTGCAAAATGGTACAGAATTTTTCAACTCGGTTTAGTCCGGTTTATTTACATATAAGAGAGTTGTGTCAATAATTATCAGACACAATTGTATGTTATACATATATGTATAATATACTAATTGTTTTTCCTTATATTGTTTTTCCTTATGTATATAGCATATACAAAAAATTGTATAAGTACGTGCACACATATTTCATAAATTAATCAAGACATATATTTATATGTAATATCGAAACATATGGTTATTAATCTAGATTCCACTTTTTATTCTTAAGATAAATATTGTGGAAATTTCAAGAAATTTACTTGAAATTTACTTATGTATCAATACATAAAATGATTAAAATAACAAGAAACGTATTTTAAATTAATGTTAATGATACAGGATCGTGTCAGGAATGAAATTGATTCTGCTATGCAAGAGAATGAGGAGAAAATTTCCATGAAATTGTTGCAACAACTGCCATATTTAGAAAGATGTATAAAAGAAGCGTTACGTTTGTATCCCAGCGTACCTTTTATATCACGTGTTTCCGGAGAAGACGTAAAACTACGTACGTATTACTCATAAACCAAGGTTTTGTTTATTTTTAAAAGTATTAGTCAAAATATCAAGTAGTAAGGTTTTTAGAAATCAGATTATCTAATACTGTATTTAAAAATGGAATTTGAACTGCGGTTCATTTGGCCGTTTAAACGCAAAGTGATATATATATATAACGATATGGCTGATCCATGCTTCGAAATCGTAAATTTAGTATATAATTATTACATAATATTTTATATTATGTTATATAAGCATATAACATAATATAAAATATTATGTTATATGCTTATAGACTGTACTTTTTTCTTTGTTTGTTTGACAATATATGGTCGTACAAAATCATTTAATATTTATAAAATATTATCTATATAAGCATTCATTCCCGTCTTATATTAGATAAATATTTAATTTTAAAATTTTAATGCGACTTATAATAATTATTATTTATAATACATACTATTTAAATATTAATCTTTATATTATTTTACATTATTCTTTGCAGAATCATATTTAGTGCCTGCTGGAACAATCTTGGCCATTCATATTTTCGGCATTAATAGAGATCCCAATTTCTGGCCAAATCCAGAAGTATTTGATCCTGACAGGTTTTTACCTGAGAAGGACCGAAATCGTCATCCTTACTCGTATATAACATTCAGTGCTGGACCGCGTAATTGTATCGGTAAGCAATAGTTTTATATATTTTTATATTGTCTTATATGATTAGTTTATAATATAATAAATTTTAGGTCAACGATTTGCTATGTTAGAACTCAAAGCAATGGCAGCTTCTTTGGTACATAATTTTTACTTGGAGCCTGTTGATTACTTAAAGAATCTTTCTATACAGTTGGATATTGTTCTTCGTTTGAGTCATCCACTTCGTATAAAATTTGTCCCTCGTTTTCAGAATTAATGCAATATTGTGAATAAAATATGTAAGATTTAATGAATGTCGTGAAAGGTAAACGTTAGAAAAATGGTAAAATATGTATATAAATATAACATATTATACGTATAGAGAAATAACTTGTAACTCATGTAATGAAGATATATATAATACTTATATACTTTATAAGGAGGAACGTTTCTACTATGTAAACCTTTTTGTTTCTGAAACTGTTGTAATTTTTTTAATATCGACAGAATGTCGTGCTTGCTTCTTAGATCCGCGTAGTGGTCCATTTTTTAAATACATAGTGTTCATGCATTTTTGATATCAAGCAAAAAACAATATACTTTTATGTGAAAATTTTATTAAATTATTATTGAACTGAATAATGCGCATATCTACTAATAGATATTCGCAATATTAGAAAATATATGATCGGCGCTTTGTCAATTTTTCACTCAAACTTTTTGGCCTTCGAACAACATCGCAAAATACGCGCCGTCAATTGTTGTACCATGAGTATTAAATTCATATTCAGCAATAAATGTAAAATATGATATTGCAATAAGCGATACAAAGTTAGTAAAGTTGCGATTATCACTCTTGATCGAGTCATAACGATGTCATTTGTCTCAGAGTGTCCGTCTTATATTCATATTATTCACCGCGCTCTGCAAATGAAACAGAATCATAACACGGTGAAATGGCTTCTTTTTCTGCGCATTAAGCCAACTTACAGCATGCTACGTGTGAAAAGATGATAGTCTAAAAAAGGAGTGCCAAGCACTTAAATTATGATATTTCCATGCCCGTATTCTGTAATTATTAATGATAATTGATTATCGTTGTTCAGCCTTTTTTATTATATACAGTACCTATATTCAAAATACAACAATATAATAACAATATGACGATACCGACACTGTCATTAAAATAACATATCTCTGAGCTACAGAAAGACCGCACTGTCGACACTGGCGCTTGGCGGGTTTCGCGACCCGGGGCATTTCTTTGGCTATCCCTACTTATCCTCCTTTATATGCAGTTAATGAGGCCTGTTCTTTTTGATTGAATTTTTGCACCAGTTCATCTCCTTTCCTTTTCTTTTCCCTTGGAGAGAAAAAGAAGATGAATTAGTGCAAAAGTTCAGTCAAAATAATAGACCTATTGGTTTGTAAAGGGACAATGAGTTAGCACCATTGTTTCAGCGCGCGGTTAACTTCGTGCGCCAAAAGCGACGCGTAGCGTTATGCGTCCTACTTTTGAAACACACACACATCGCGTATTTTCTATTTGTTGAGTGATAAATAGCTTATTTTTATATGATAGTAATTATTTTATTTTTATTAATAAAACTTTTGATATATAACAATTTATAAACACAAAGGAATGCAAATTAATCTAATCTTAAAAATCTTATCGACACTTCAGTTTTTAGTAATTGTTCTATAGCAAATAAATCGAATTCTATAGTTCAAATATAAAAAAAATTATAAAAGATAGAGCTGGGAGACATGTATCAATAAAATAAAATGATTATAATGAACGATTACGCAAATAATGATAAATGTTTTACGTGAGACAATGATGACGATTACGGTCCATGGTTCTACCACGCTGGCATGCTGCTGCCACGATTATTGCGTAACACGTTACGCAAAGCTGACACGTGAGATCGCGTCAGCTGTTGGAAACGTGCATTTCCTGGATATTATCCGAGAACAATGATCCCTTGTTATCTTGTTAATTTTGATATAGAAAAGCTCTCTTTTAGCAGACTATACGTACATCAATTAATATAACGCACTACACGTATAACAATAAGTACGTTTGTAGTAGTTTACAGTATACACTTGTATGTCAGTCAATTATACAATATGATCAAATAAGCGAATATTTGAACGCATAGCAAATTTTGATATCAATAACGAAATTTTTTTAATTCTATGTACTTAATACACTATTAATGCAATTTTTTTTAATAAATATATACTTAAATATTAAAAAAATTGAGAGAAAAGCATTTTATTATACAGTGATCTTTTTATTGTATGTAAAAGTTAACGTTTTTTAATATGTATTAAAACAATAACAAATATATTACTATTAACATCACTTGCAGAGGCTTCTTATACAAACATAATGAATTAATTTTCTATAAAGTTTGATGTGACACATTGTTGAATAATTGTTGAATAATAAAGTTAGCAAATACTGTTATGTATATTGTAATGATTATAAGATACACAAAAATAACGACGTCTTCTTCATGCGGTTATTTAAAGAAAGACCTAGATGTTTCATCTCCGTATCGTGGCAGTAATGCCTATTGTTTAGAAATCTATCATTATGGGTGGAACATTAACGGGATATAGTTCTTTGTATTTTAATGACGCTATTATACCCTTGATTTTCTATTAAAATATCCTAATTAATGATATGTGAGGGCAGGAATATACAAAACAGTTGCTCAATTGAAGAATATAAAAGGGACAGTAAACTAGAAACTCACAATTTTTCGAAAACCCACAGTTGAGGAACAAAATTATATTCACAAAAATCAAAAACTTATTCTCTCAGAAAAATTTCTCAGTATTTTAATTTAATTACGATACTTCTAAGATAAAAACAATTTCTTAAATAATTTATAGAAGTGTAAATAAATTTTATTACATCAAAATTTCTACGTAAAGTAATATTTATCTTTGGAGAGCTATTTATTATTTTGTATTTTTTATTCTTTATTTTATATATTTCTTGCAATATATCATTAATATTTAATCGTTATTTGTTTATTTCAACTTAACATTAACATATAATTTATATTTTTTATGTAAATAAAATCACAATAAATTTGCACTTATCCTTTTGTACTTTTCAAACGTTTTATTTTATCAATAAAATCTTTGTGTCGTCATTCGACCATTCAAGACTAAAGCTGTCAATGTTTCATCATTTATTATTAACGTAAAATTTAAGATAGGGTAGCAAGTGTTTTTTTTTCTTCGATCCTTATAAGAACCGAGTGATGCGACATTCTTGTCTCAGCTCAAGCGGAATGAATTCGCCTGTGTGGTGTATGGAGCATTATCGCACCCACGAGCAACGCCATAATCACGAGCACAACGTTACGTCTTTATCGCCTAATATAGTTGCACGTATGTGTATACACATATGCATACATACATCTGTAAGTAAAAAGCAAACACCAATCTGCGATAAGGGCGTGGCGTCGTTCAACGCAAGATTCACAAGGACAAAGACATTAAACTTTATCCCGTTGCACTATGATTTACATCCTGTGTGATACACACGCGTCCATCTCGCCTACAGGTTCATAAAAAATTCAGTAAAATCGGCGAAATGAAATCGAAACTATGACTCAAGTATAGGTCAGTGTGTATACAAATATTTTTAGATCTTCGAAAAAAAACGTAAAAGAAAAATGACCGTATATCATTATAAAATTTATTTTAAGCAAAATGTTATTGTCAGCTAAGTAATAATTTATAAATGTCGTAATAATGTAAAAATATCAATAATATATGTATTTATAACTACTATAACAAAACAGAAATATTTTAAAAAATTTTATATGTTTGTAAATTGCTTAGTAATCAACTTTTTTTTTTTTAAATTTAAACAGTAAAGCTATTATCTAGTAGATAGATATTATTCAACATTTTTGCAAACATCATCACGATTTTCAACTAACATCCTTTATACACTTCCTGGATTTATTCCACACGTACTTAATGTGCTATATGTCATAGACGATCACAATCTTCCTAGAAATGTGATGCATACATCAACGCGGAATAATTCTTAAAAAGAAAATAAACTTATTGTTTTATCCTGTGTATTCTAGAAATATATTATATAATATATACGTCAGTATTCTTGAAGCTCTCAGATGAAAGAGTGCCTTGTTTTGTTAGTGTCGTTATTCCGTTTTTGTGAATATCCGTTTATTGGTTTTAAACCGTTAACTTGGTTTTATTCTAACTTTTTAAAATATAATTTTGCATTATACGATAATTTATAGGAATTTAATATATTAAGACAGTCATCTGTATCGAAATAGTCGATTAACGGTTTTCTTTCTACAATGAGCTATCCTAGAAATATGCTCCAAATTTCATGAAATTTAGACAAATACATAATAGGTATGAAATATTTAACGTAATAAAATAAATGACAAATAGCATACACAATTTGAAACTGTTCAGAAAGTTATATCTGGATAGGCAAAACTTAAGTCACGATACTTAATAAGATTTATTTTTATCCAAATACAATATAAGATCTATCCTTACCTAAGCTAAATAAAAATAAACGGATATACTTCCATAATTAAATAACGTATAAGTCTAATATGAAATTCTCATAAAAATTTCTCCTACAGTAACCATGAACTGCAAGCTTATGTCAGTAACCTTAGATTACTATGAACATGACACTCATTTTGATCCTTCATTTATGAAGCCACAGATGTTACCACGGATAATCGTGACTCGTGGATGCGTAAAACTATGTAAAATTATCTGTACTTTTCTCCGCGCATGCAGTCCTTGGTAACGCGTAAGTGCGTTGGTAAGCTGGTACGCGTGACTCTCTGGATGCAACCGCAGCTGTAAATTGCGGAAATGTTCTTTTTTATATCGTAAATTTGACCCGGGTAAACTTCTATAGTAAGCGTGACGAGTTTAAAAAGAAAAGGAAGTTTTACCTATGCTTACATAATTTTATGCATACAATTGACTTTTTTTTTGTAATATATTTTCTTATGATCTTGAATTATATTTTTATCTGATATAAAAATAGTTTCTAATTATATCATAAGATTAAATATTGTATACGATTCATAAATTGCACATTAGATTTTATGATAAAATTCTACTTATAATTTTAAATCTCATACATTATTTTGTATATATATATTCAATATGTATGCATTTTAATATATTTATTTCTATACATGCAGCATTTTTTCGAACATTGTATTATTACATAAAAATATAAAT